TTGGTTCAAATAGGATACACAAAGTATCTATGTTTTAATTTTTTATGTGATAGTAGAGCTGCTGACCAGCACTTTACAAAGTGTGATTAGCCAGTTAGAGAATATTTACAGCCTGATTCACACAATATTATTAATCAACTCCTGATACCTGTTGAGAAGATCTTACTACCATCCCTTCACATTAATTCACATAATTATTTAACAATAATTTAACGCACAATAATTTAACAATATCTTCACAGGTATTGTTAAATAATATATCAAATCATAAAATCTAGCTAGTGCAACATTCCAGCAATTTAGCAAATGTTTCCAAAGATGTTTGATGCAAAATTTCAGCATGCACATTTATTGGTCTATTGATTAAAATTATATTGGTATAAATGAAGTTGGACAACAAAATTTCTGCTATTGAAAAAGAAACAAGAATTGCATTTAGACATATGATTTATAGTTTTTTAGGCTACAATAAGAATAACTAGCTTGTGGAAAACTTTGTATGATTCACAGATATAAAATGCAAAATGTCAGTAAAGCTGTGTTACTGTGTGCGCGATGATTATAAACTTCATTAAATAAAATCATGCTCGACTACTAACTTCTAGTGTGTTTTTTTTTTATGTATAATTTTTTTGACTATTACATTGCATCATGAAACATAGAATACCTATGTGTAACATGATTAAACATGATGTTTGGTGACATAACATAACATTTTTAACTAGTAAACATTATTTATTGAATAAAGTTGTATCTTATGCAATATAATTATTATTAATTATATGTTTAATTGATTTTTTGGTTTTACAATCAAAAGGTTTGCAGAATAAAAGAAACTATTATCGTATTCACACTAAACATCTTCAAATTAATTATGAAACAATATTTTACTAAGTATTAATATTATTCTAAGCTTAAATTTAACACAATAAAAGATGGACAAGATATAAAAATTGAAAATATGTAAAAATATTTCATTATCTTATAAAAAAAAAGTTACAATCAAATCAACTGTAAACATGCAAAACAATTCTCAAGTTATTTTTTCATCAAGTTATTTAAAATTGATGAAAAAATAACTTGAGGGGTTAAAAGTTAACATATAAAAAATGAGTGGTTTAAAGTTAACATATTTTTCACAATTTTTTTCTGCTTTAAAAGCCTTTTAAATTCTACATTACATGATTTTTATTCATATACATTAGAAATCTGTTTATTATTTTTGAAAGAAAATGAAACTTTAGTTAAATAATTTGTAAAAACTACAATTATGCACAAGAGTTTGATCAGTTTTTTTATAACAAAATGTTTGTTTTTCTCATATTAAAGTTTTACGTAAAGAGATTTTAGGGTTTTTTTTTCTTTTTTTTTTTTTCAATCAGTGTCAAAAAATATCAAAAGGCAAGTTATCGAAAACATAGAAACTTTGACTGTTAAATTACCGAGACAACAACAGTATGACAGAACTGAACAATGTGTCTTCTAACAAGGCTGCATATAGTGTAACATATAAATATAGCATATAATGTAACATATAAATATAGCATATAATGTAACACGTTGGTTCAACACAAAAAAGATCAGTTTGTTGCTTTGATGCTCTAGATCAGACCTTACCTAAAAGAAAATATTTATTATGGATTGAGGCTCAGTAATAATGTTCAATCAACTGCACATTTAAAACAACTTTTGTTATTACTTGACCTAGTTCATCTAGATATGCTGATTATATCTTGGAAAATCCGATAGTTTAGAATCTTTTTAAATGATTCTGCAATCAATCAAGCAAGTAAAAGAAAAAAACTGCTCTGAATATTTTTGTTATTGTTTAATTAGTTCTTTACCTTTTTTTTTTTTTTTTTTTTTTTTTTTTTTTTTTTTTTTGTCATTTGACACATTTTTCAATGTTAACCTTACATTCAAATAAGTTTATACAAATGCAAGCTGACTGGGGCAAGTAAAAGACAAAATGTCTTATCATCAAGCCCCTTCGTGAAAATAAAAAAAAATAAAAAATTTTTACAATTTCCAATAATATATAAAAAAGTGAATTTAAAAAAAGTTTAAAAAAAACGAATTAAAAAGTTTGAAAAAATCAAAAAGTTGAAAAAATAATTTTTAATTTTGACAAAACTAAAAAGTTTGAAAATAATAAAAAATAAAAAAGTTTGAAAAAATAATTTACAAATCCGTACATATGCGTATACATATCCAATAAACTTCCTAATATATATTTAAATATACAAAAGATATTTTGAATTAAAAAAGATTCCGAACATTTTATAGATTTAAGTTCATCTACTCATATTTTTTTTTAAATAAAATTAAAACAGGCAAACAAAAAGAAACAAGAAGAATATATATAAGAAGGATATATGTATATATACATATACACACATACATATACACATACACATACACACATATACACATATACACATACACACACACACATATATATATATATATATATATATATATATATATATATATATATATATATATATATATATATATATATATATATATATATATATATATATATATATACATATACATATATACACACATATACATATACACATACACACACATATATATATATATATATATATATATATATATATATATATATATATATATATACATATACATATATACATACATATATATACATACGCACATATACATATATTTATATACATATACATACACACGCAAAATACATACATACATACTTGTTTTATATTTATGATTAATAAGAGAGAAGTTTTTATAAAAATATTTTGGAATTAATTCGTTTTGAAGTTTAAACATAAATAACAAGTTATGGTAGATGTTTAATTTGTATACATTTAGGGCATTTATTTCCTTGAGTAACGGCTCGGCACTTTCGTATCTATCCATGCCCGAAACCAATCGATCTGCTTGCTTTTGTTTTGTGTAAATAGTTTTAAGGAAAGATGAGCGATTGTTTGCCCAGGCAATATTACAATAGTTAATATGACTATGTATAAACGAAAAATATAAATTTTTTAAACATATTTTGTTCAAAAGAAGTTTAGTCTTATACATTATCCCTAAAGTCTTTGAGACTTTGTTCTCGACTAGCTTTATTTGGCTTTTCCAATTTAAATGTTCGTCAAAAATTATTCCAAGTATTTTCATTGAAAACACTCTTTTTATTTTAATATTGTTAATAGTTAGTTCTGGTAGTGTAAGTGGAAGATTCTCGGATTTAGATGGTTTAGCAAACAAAATATATTTTGTTTTTTCAATATTCAACGAAAGTTTATTTGCTATAAACCACTCATTGAGATATGTTAGTTCAGTGTTTACATTACAAAAAATATTTTTTAAATTTGAATCAGAATAGAAAACATTAGTGTCGTCAGCAAAAGTAATATAATTAAGTATTTTTGATGACAAATAAATATCATTAATATAAATTAAAAACAGTAAAGGTCCAAGTATTGATCCTTGTGGAACTCCACAACTTATTGACTCAAATGGGGAGCATGTTAAATCAAATGGTACTACTTGTTTACGATTTTCTAAATAACATTGCAGCCACTTTAAGTTAGAGTGAGCTACTCCGTAATTACATAGTTTGTTGAAAAGAATCTTGTGGTTGACAGTATCAAAGGCTTTGGATAGATCTAGAAATATTCCGAGAGTGTAACTATTGTTTTCAAAACCATTTAGAATTTGGTTCGCAAGATCAATTACTGCATGCTCCGTGGAATGGTTTTTGCGAAAACCAAACTGTTTATGATAAAGAATGTTATTAGTTTCAAGATAATTGTACAGCCTGTTGTGCATAATACGCTCTAGTATTTTAGAAAAACAGGAAAGTATGGAAATTGGTCTATAGTTAGATTTTATCGAATCATCGCCGCTTTTGTATATTGGAATTATTTTTGCTAGTTTTAGTTGGTCAGGAAAAATGCCGTTTCTTAGGGAAAGATTAAAAATTATAAAAAAAGAGGTTTCTCAATAATATCAGAGACCGCTTTTACAACATCGGGGTTAATTTCATCTAGATCACCTTGACAATTTAAATTCTAAAGAAAAAGCTACAAATAATATATTTAGTATAATTTATATGTATTTAAATAAACGCAAATTTTTAATTTAAAAAATGTCATTAGCATTTGTCATTTTTGTAAAAATATCTACATATTAGAATAATAATTATATACTTATTTTATCGTTTGTTATTTTCTATGCTATAAAATAAGTAAAAACAATTAAAATTTAATGTTTAAAATAACAAATTTAATTTTTATTATGAAATACAGTTTAAAACCTTCAGCCATTAATATACTTAAGTACTATATAGCATTCTAAATCTGGATTTCACTGTATAATTTGTGTTTTGTTTTTGTTTTTTGGTTCAAATTTTCATTTTTTCCTCAGTGTTTAGATTCAGTGTTTGTTTCGGAATGTTTTAAATTTTTATTTTTTTATTTTACTTTTATTAGATAACGACTAACATAGGATGCCAGTGTCCAAAAATGATTTTAAGTGAAGAAGTTCGATTTGCTTATTCTGATGATTGTTATGGTGAAGTTCAAAACAGAGCTATCAAGTGCAGACTGCCTTGCTTAGATTATGATGGAACAAACAAATATATTTGTGTCTTTGGTGCTGCTCTTGAAACTGGTTCGTGGTACGTAGATGAAGTCAGCGAGACTATAAGAGAAGAAAATCCTGATCGCTATAGCAACCGTGCTTATTGTAATCCTCCAAATCAAAATGATTGGGATCAATGTATGAATGTTCAAAATCTAAACAAAAATGTGTTAGTACTAAGTGAAAAATCATCCGGTAAACAGAAAAAGGTTAATCCAAAACGACGAAAGCAACCTCCTCCGAAATCACGTATTAGTTTAGCTGGTGTAATAGCATTGGCCACAGGTCGAAAATAAATCGTTTCATAATGGTTATTAAAAGTATGTAATAAATGCAGAATTATATTTGTAAAATTGTTTTTAAAATCTATTCTTTATATATTAATTGATTATAAACTAGTAAGAAAAATAAAACATAACCGCTTAAAAATCAAAATTGTTTTGACTTCCTTGGGTTTATCTTTTTATTTGCTCTATATAAATCTTTTTAAAAAATGAGCGAGTTCACCCTTTTAAAAAAAAAGAGCGAGTTCACCCTTTTAAAAGAAACTGATTCATATAAAATAAATATTATTTTTTACTCTAAAAAAAGAATTTTTTTAATGCCGTAATTAAATAAAAGTTAATAAAGAACAAAACGCCTTTCAAAATGACAAAACGCGGGGACATTTCAAAATAACAAATTTTATAAATATACCTTGCTATATAAGGTATATTTATAAAATATGCAACTACAGCTATTTCTATACCCACTTGCTTACCTTTTTTCTATAAAAAAATATTTCATAAAAGAGCAGTATCGTCTTAGTTGAACATCCTAGAGGATCATGTATCATTTTAAAACAAAAAACAAATGTCACAATTTTTTTGCTTTGTGTTTTCGTTTATTTATATTTTTACGCTATATAACTTACAAAACATTTAAATATACTAAATAAAAATATATATTTTAGTTTATAAAATTGATACGAGACAGGAGAACATGAAAAAGAAAAAATATTTCCATTAATAACCTCGGGAGAAAATAAAATTGAGTAAATTTTGAGCTGTATTGGTTTCTGCAAGATCCAGGGTTGTAAAATAGATCAATTGCATCGAACCACGATAAAAAATACTGAAACAAATGATACAGAAACAGAATCCTGAAATTCCTAATTTACGGAAAGATTTTTTAAATCTGGATTGACGCCCCTTTCAATTAAAACAAAAAAGTTTTAAAAACTTGTCTCAAACATTTTTTCGCATAAAAAAAATTATCAAAAAATTGTTAGTATTTTTTTTAATAATATATTAATCAATGATTTCGAAGCAAAAATTCTTGATTGGTTGACGCTGAACTGTCAAATTTTGCGTTAAACCTGCGACATCAACGCTTGCACGATTTTATCGTTACTTAGCTAGCAGCTCTTTTTTTTTTTTTACTTGAAATCGTTAATGCTTTTGGTTTCTTGCAATGTATTTCGCTACATTTGTTTACAAATTGCCAAAAATCGTTAGGGCGTAATTCTACTCCTTTGTGAGATGTAATTGAGAACTTGAAAGTTGTAATTAAGAAACGTAAGATTTAATAGAGAAGATGAAACTTGTAATTGAGAAACGTAAGATGTAATTTAGAAGATAAAAGTTGTAATTGAGAAACATAATGTAGACTATCAGAAAAAAGATCTTTGTATTTTTAATTTTGTTGCCTTGTAATTTAAGGTTGGATCCTAATTTGGCAAAGGTGGCTATATGGGTTGGTTTTCAATAAATAATAATATATTATCAATAAACAAAAAAAGTGAAGAAAAAGGCATTTGAGGTTTTGGCGGTAAACTGGAAAAAAAGTCAGTTAGAACTTTATTTTTTTTTTTTGTTTTTGTTTGAAAAAATATCATTTGAGAAACTTGATGAACAATAAACAAAACACAAATAATTTATTTACAAAAAAAATATAAAGATTTAAACTGAATTTAAACATTAAAAATAATTGTAATATTTAGTTAAACACCTCATTGTAATGAAATCATTACTAAATCGTTGTAATATTCAATTAAAACATAGTTAATTTGGGAATCTTCCATAATTAAAATTGTCGAGTATTGCTTCGTTGTCTGTTAAGCAGCACTTAAACAATCACCTCCTGATATTTTCATTTTTGCCGCAGTACCAATTCTTTCCAAATACTGTATTCATTGTTCCACAACCCTAGCACCGAATACAGATGGAATACAAATCGCATTTTTAATGTTATTTTAAATTTTAGACCAGATTGTTTCTATTGGGTTTAACATTGGACTGTAGGGTCCTAAACGTTACAACGTGGCTGGAGAATTTTTAACACCCTTTTTAAACGAGCGTGACATGGAGTATTGTATGTTACGATGACTAAAGACTCTCGAAAGGAACCCACAGGTAAAACATAAGCAACATCTACTCGTTACAAGATTTTGCATTATATAATCCTCTGCGAGTTTCCTTTATGACGATATTTGCTGTTGATATAGCTGCAATCAAATGTATATTTGTAGCTTTTGATGCAGGCATTTTCATTATTGCTTTTCTTTTGATGCAGGCATTTTTATTATTGCTTTTCTGGTACGTCCTTGAGTTTTTCTACAAAAAAAGTTAAAACTTGTTTCATTAAACCAAAATATCTGATGATCGTTTGTGATTTGTTCGTTGATGATCCTAACATATTCAGCTCTTTTTTGATTGTTTTTATTACTGTTTCTTGTAAAAAGTTCCTTTAGCACTTTTTTTAATAAAAGCAATATGCCTTTGAGGTAAGTCACACTTTGGCGGTTGTTGTTGTTTTGACGTCATAATACTTTTTTTTGATCTTCAGTCAATTTTTTGGTTTAAAATTACCTCTTTCAAAAAAATTTGAATTTCTACTGCGAATCCAATTGAAAGCTAATTTACATTTGAACCCTAAATTTCATTTTATTGTCATTTGGTGAAAATAAAACGTAATGGTTTCTTTCAACTTGTTTGTATTTCATGCCGACAAATCGGACACGTTAGTTTTGGTTGTTCCAGAAGCGGATCTAAGCAATTTGGAGAAATAAATGCTGACTTTAATAACAGACTTTCTCCAATAAGATAAATTACGTTGGAAAAAAGCCGTTTAAACGACTTCTGTTTTGTTGGAAAAACGTTGGTATGATGTTATAAATGAAACAGCGGAAAAAAGTCAAAAATATACAATAATTTAGAGTGAAACTAGTTTGAGTTTTACTTTATTTTCAAATTTCAACCATATCTCAAATTATTTGCGTATTCTTTGTTTGACACTAAATAAGGAAAATATATGAAGAAACGTAAAGTTACAAACAAATCCAAATAATTATATGATAATTATTATAATAATATAATAATTATTAATAAAATTTTTTAAAACGAAATAAAAAAACATTGAACAAATAGAAATACCACAAATATTAGAAATTGGACTAACTAACTTTCTATGCGATGTTCACTTGAACTTTTCTGGTTTCAAAAGATTATTGACTGTAAATTGTTTAGCAACATCATATGAAATAGAAAAAATAATCCCTAAATAAACTGCAAAACTAATGAAACTACCCCTCCCCCCCTCCCCGCCAATGTTTTTAATTGAATAAATACACAAAATTTATTTAAAACACACAATTATGACATAATGGAAAAAAAATATTACTAGTTTTACCCTTAAAAGCAGTGTTGATTAACTGCGTAAATCTTCTCGACTTTGCTTTTCTTTCGTAGCAGACGGCTGCTACCTCCCGAGTTCTTTTTTGGAAGCAAAATGTTGTGAAGGCCGACGCCAATACAGAGGCTGAAGCCAATGAAGCCAAAAGTCTCAGAAAAAATTTTGAAGGCAAAGGCATTTGGAGGCCGCCTCCGATGGCTTTTGCCTCCTAACTGGATGCGGCCATCAAATTGGAGGCGGAAATATTTGCCTTCCGCCGGCGGATGTATGAAAAAATAATTGCTCGTTTGCTTTAAAGCAATTAAATATTAACTAAAAACAAATGTTAAATACTTCACATTAATTTTGATTATAAATGATTGTTTGCGAAAGTTTTTTAATTTTTTTTTTAAACTAATAAATCAAGTAGAATAAATTAGTATTTTAATTAAACAAAACAAAAGTTAAAAGTTGGAAATTTTACTTCTAAGCAATTGGCGAATAAATCTTTTTGACAAAAAAAAAAAAAAAGTTATTGTAAATAATTAAATTGACTGATTTTGATAAAAGTTTTTAAGAACAAGTCGACATGCTAAAACTTTTATCTATTTTATCATTTTCCATAACGTTAAATAAAGCGGGGCTAGTTGAGCATAGGGGTAAGTTGGGCAATTAAAATGCGCATCAAATAGTTGTTGGACCGCGGTTCAGTAACATGCACAGATACTTTTTCGATTGGACCAAAAAAGTAAAAAAAATAGTTTTTGCTATTTTTCTCTTAGATGCTTAAAAAAACATTTATCTGGAATTACTTAAGTGTTTATATTTTACTCATTTATTTGGCTATTGATTATACTTATCCTCTTTCCCCAAGCCTTATAGTTCTTTTTATAACCTAAATGATGTGTCGACTTGTCTAGTAGGAGTAAGTTGAGCAGATTTGACAACGATTTATAAAACGGCTTTATCAGACGCGAAGATAAAATTTCGTTTGGTGAACATTTTAAGGTCCATTCACGCTTTTAAATTAATAGTAAAATACTCATAACAATTATAAGGTAATATCTTAAACCTTTTTTTTTTTAATATGTATTTATAATTTTGATTTTTTTAATTTTTATTTATAAATTTAAATTAAAATTAAAAATTTTTTTAATATGCATTTATAAATTTGATTTTTTTAATTTTTATTTATAAATTTAAATTAAAATTAAAAGTTTTTTTAATATGCAATAATAAATTTGATTTTTTAATATTTTTAAAATATTTTTACTTTAATACTACGTGGTCAATAAAATCTTAAAGTTGAAAAGTTTTTGAATAATTTTTTAAAATCTTAAAGTTGAAAAGTTTTTGAATAATTTTTTAAAATCTTAAAGTTGAAAAGTTCTTGAATAATTTTTTTTAAATTAATCTTGTTTACTATGTTTATTATGATAATATTATGATAGTGTGCATATTTAAAAAACATATAACTTATAATTTACATTATATAAGCTTATTGATACAATATATTTATACAGTATATAAATAATTTATATATATTATTTAATATTACTACACACACACATACCCACACACACACACACCCACACACACACACACACACAAACACACACACACAAACACAAAATACACACACAGATATTTAACTTCAAATGGTGTCTTCACAAGCCAACAGCTTAGTGATGCAGCAAGTTCTGTTTTGGAGGGA